TTTTTTCACTTTTTGATTTTTTTTCTTTTTTAAGCAGTTTTTTAAGTTTATCTCAAAAATAAGAACCAAATTTAAATTCTGACCCCGGATTCGGATTCAGTGACCCAAAATACGTAAGAATGACTAGTCTATTTTGCCGGACAAAATTTTTTTTGTGGGGGTTTGTTAATTAAGTGAAAAAATGAAAATAATAGATAAAATATGTTTTCAAAGTTGGTCTGTGAAAGTAAATAAGTTTAAACAGCACACAAAAATGACACAAAAATTAGATCTATAAGGTGCTAAATATCTTGCGGTTACTTTAACCTAGCGCATTAACATTTATGTAAAACTGTGAAAAATAGCCGGTTATCTATATATATTTCGGTGGTGGGGATAAATCACTCTATTTTCTTAATTTTTAGTTTTTTATTTATATAGTTTATTTTTATTTAGATATTTATTTTTATCTAGCTTTTTATTTTCTTCTAATTTCTAGAAAATTTTAAAATTTTTAATTAATATTTATTTAGGCATATTTGAAATTTAAAGAACTGATTTAATACCAATTTTTCAGTTTTTCATAAATTTAAATGGGTTAAAGTAACCGCAAGATATTCAGCACTTTATAGATCCAATTTTTGTGTGCTATTTAAAATTACTTAAAACCATATACAGGTTTTGAACACATTAGTCAGCAAAAAAGTAACAAAAAGTTGTCTAAATAGTGAAAAAGTAGCTTTTAGTTGCTTGAGGTTGAAAAAAGTAGCAAAAAAAAAAATAGCAAATAGTAGCTTTTAGTTGAAGAGTGCGAAGCCTGTCACCTATATAAAAGAAAAGTTACGAATTCTAGTTTTTTTAATTAAAAATTTTTTAATCGCTTGTATCTAGAAATGAGGTTCTATAAACACATTCACATAAATAAAAATCATTAAAATAATTAAAAACTTATTTCTGACCCTTAAAAAACAATTTGTTAGAAAAATTTCAAAACCACCCCTCGAAAGGGGTGAAACTTCTCTAAATGAACAGCTACGATTTTTATCGGAATCCTCGTCAATCCTCACAGCCACGTTTCCGTGATACGTTCTATTGGATTGCATAATTATTTTTCTTTTTGCACTCCTTCCGCCTATGTCCTATTTCACCACAGTTGTAGTATCGAAATACAAACTTTTTTGGTCTGCCTTTATTATCATTTCCAGACGGACCACTTGTATTTGGATGTGCTGAAAAAAGTAGTCGTTTGTTCTGATGACGTATGTTTTCTCGTTTCTATGTTATGAAGTTCCGCCTATTCGTCCAACAGTTTATTTTTGTTTTAACAAAGGCCGCTGTCAATACGTCCCCAGAAAGTGTATCCGCTATTTGTTGTACGATCTGCGAACGACATTTCCTATCTGCCTTCAAATGCGTCTTGATTTGAGTTTGTTTTAATGCCCTCTTCAGTATTTATAGTTATAAATAAGACAGTTAATTTCTATTAAATTATTGATTCTAAGTGTTAATTTGTTTCTCTTGCACCTATTAGCTATCAGGAAAGAATACAATAATTATCGCGAAAGAAAATGAAGGGTCGCTCTACGATAGTGTTGCATGTCAATCCAATAATTGCTCGATATCGACTGCATATGCTTGAATATTGATACATTTTATCAAGCCAAGAAGCGTGATTTTCTTTTGTTTATGATTGACTTTGATCGTTCGAATGTTATTTCGAAATCTCGATCAAACGTATATATTTTTTATTATAATAATAAAATACCTGTTTTTCATCGATTTTTTAAAATAAAAAAGGAAGTTAATTGTGAAAAGTAAAATGTCAGAAGATACGAACAAAACTGAAAGCAGGAAAAGAATACATGATCAGATAGATTTAGATGATGAGTAAGCAAAAGGAGCTTCTCAAAAGTATTTTATAAAAATGTTTCAATTTGAATGTCAAATTTTACATACTTTTTTCCTAATTTAATATTTTTATTAGTTTACAAATTTTAGTTTTATCAAATATTTAACTAATTTTATTGACAATTATAAAATTATTAAAATTATTAAAATGAAAAATCTTTGACCATCAGAAAACACAAGAACAGATTGGAAAATGATTCTGTAAAATATCTTATGTGCTTGAATTCGTGGATGAGTTGTTCTCTAATGTATTATGTTAAATATTACTTCGTTGAATAAAGAAAAAATAATAAATTATTTAATTTATATGATTTTGTATTTATTTTAATGAGAAAAGAATATTTTAAAAATTATATATAATTTTTAAAAAATTACAATATTTAAATTATACTAATAGTGATTGTTTTTAAGAGAAATTTTAGACATTAGAAATTTCAATTGCTTAAAAAATTTAAATAGGTTAGATAATAATAATAGTAATCACTCGAAATATTTTTAATTTCTTCAATAAAAACTATATATTTAATTACGATAGATAGAAAAAATATCATTTACAATAACATAGGTTATTAACCGTTCTGTATAATGTTAAATATTTATTTATATAGAAATACTACAGTTCTGTATAATTTTTAAATAAATAATGAGCGTATACTATGTGCTTGACGCATCAAAAATGCACTTTAAATATGAAATGTAGGCACAAAATATTTATTATATACATAATATTTATGTATACTGTTTATTTTTGATGGGGTTACATTCTTCTGATGTCAATTTATTATTTTAATTGAATAAACAATTTCATAAACTATATTTTATTAAAGAATTTTATAAAAAATTTATAGTTTATATATAATAAATTCATTGAAATCTTCACTGCATTTCTGTATATATACATAGGTTAAGTTAAAACGGAATCAAGCAAATCTCGATCGATTTACTTAACGGGAAGCTTGTCTCTATGACACGAACCAATCAATATATTGAATAAAATTAAACAATCACCTTTCTTGAGATCGTTAATTTCTCGATTGTTTTGGTTGACATGCAACACTACTCTACGATGTTAGAAATTGCACCGGAACTTTGACAAGCTTTATGGAAAAAGCTCTTGTTTATATACTAGTCGATTGTGCTAATTAGTGAGAGGAATGTCACATTATTGAGGAGGGGGGTGATCTATAAATTGGATCGCTTTCCTTATATGGTAATGATCTACATCGCATATGACAATGAATCTTCTTCTTTCTGAATTCTCTCTCTTATATGCTTACAACGGGCTTTTGAATATCATATTACACTTGGATCTTCACATTCTTCACGCGCATAAACAAACAAGCTTGAACTTGTTTTACATTTTGCTTACATGTACCTTATTTTAGCTCTCCAATCTTTGAACTTTTATGGTGAAAACGAATGTTATATCTCTTTCGAGATCGATTTCGTTTCCACGCTCTATTCTATCAATATATACATAAATAAATACATTAAAATAAGACATATGTAATGACAATTTTAAAGGAAAATTAGGGAAAATTGTTACGGGGATGTACACGGAAAGAAAGTTTATAGCAATATTTGATATTATAGTGTTACTTTTTAGTATATTTGGTTACAATTGCGGAACATTTTGGCATGATAACGATTTTCGATACTATTTTTAAGAATGATTGAGATTAAAATAAGAATATTTAATATAGTTGGAAAGAAAATTTGATATAATATTTACGAAATCTGAAATCTTTTTATTGAAACACAAAAATGTCAAATTTTAATAAGCTCTTTATCAATTTTTCTAACCAAATATTTCAAATTTCGTAATTAGAATTGTATAAAATGATATAATTATTTGAGATTTTGATATATTTGATATGAAAATTGAAAAAGAAATATCAAAGTTAACGAGATTCGACGAAATTTGCCGAAGTTGAACGTTCGGAATTGCCCGATCCTCACCGAGTGGTAACGAAGACTGACGAAGCTCTTTAGACAAGCCCCTTTTTACCATTATCTTGATACAGACCTGAATTTCTTTTATATAATTAATTTCGAAGATTTTACAATAAATCAGTAAAAAAATTGTTCTTCAAAAAATAATAAAATATTTAATTATTTCCCAATAAATAATGATTTTTATTTATATTTTTAAACATGTTTTGATATAATTTCACCTTTCTCATAAGCGGTGAAAAATATGTCTGGTTAGTATATAAGAATGGTCACATCAGTTTTTCACATGAGCGTAAATTTGTATATGAAGCGTTATTCTGCGAATGTTATACGTATTATCGTTAGTATAGGTTAGGAATAAAAATAAGCCAATCGATGTAAACCATGCGGTGTATGTGTGTGTGTGCATTTAAAAGTTCATATCCTCGTCTATCCTCAAGATGAGAAAGAGATAAAACTTTGGCGTAGAATTTATTGGTGTTTCTGTCGTCATCTGTCACGACTGAACCACTTCGAATTTTTAGTATAGTTTTAACAAATTTCGAAATAATCTTTCCAAATTTTCATATAAATTTAGTAAATAACAAAGTGCGCGTCGGTTTAACTTACTTCTGGTTTTTCGTATAAATTTATCAATTTACGAAATAATAATTTCAGTTTCTGGAATATATTTACTACAAAGACTATTGGTAAAAATATACTGATTTTCGTTATCAAACCCAAATGTTCCGCGTTTGAAAAAGAAAATACTAAAATTTCCTATCAGATTTATCAAATATTGCTACTAAATTTCTTTCCGTATAACAGGAAATAACGGAATTTTATACTTTACACTGTCAGCCATTTTTGACCACGCGAATCTATTCAACGTAAGCTACCCGAATCAAAAAAACAATTTTAAACTCGTATTTAAGTGAATATCTAATCAATGGGCCCGTAACTTGATAAAATAACTGGATGGGTCAGAAAACAACTCAAGGTTTCGCGTATAAGGGCGCGGCGATTCATCAAGGACCGAGTCAAGGACTGACCTTCACACACCTTATCTCCTTTACGCTCATTTAATACATAGTTTCCATATCTCAGCAATCACGCTATCCCATAATTTTGTTTACCTATTTGAATAATTAAATTAAATAGTTTATTTTTATTAACAATAGTTACCAGTTGGCGGGGAGGAGGCTGTGCTACTGCTCAGCGAACTTGAAAGCATGGCATCTAGACAGCAGCGAGAAATTGTCCAGCAGAGGCGAATATTAGAACAACGAGAGGCTCAGCTAGCTGTACTCCGAGGAGCACAGGTATATTAACTTTATTTCATTCATATTTGTTTGTTTGGTAAAAGAACAAAAAATTGGTCAATGTGAAGAATCATTCATTCAATTAAAAAAAGCCGTACATTTACCAAGAAAATTGGTAAATATAAGTATATTGGTTTATATAGATAGTAATCTTCCTATAGAGAAAACAGAATTAGAAACGCAGAGTGTTTGTATTGTTGTCATCAGGATTTTGTCTAGATTACACTGAAAAAAATTTATTTGATTCAAATAACACTGGGTTACATAAAAATGGTCAAGTCTTGTTTTTTTAAAATTTTCTGTGTTTATTGAAAGTTTAGGTGTCATTGAACAAGAATATACCCAAAAAAAATTTTTTCATTCTGTCAGTTCCGTAAAAAACGAGATTAAAGTGTCAAAAAATCGCTTTTTTAGCACTTTTTGAAGCGTTGTAAAACGAAAACGCAACAAGATAAAAACCTTCACGAGGGCTTGAATGAAAGCTTAAACCTTCAACTTTGAGTCCCAAAACTGAAAAGTGAATGATAATTGTGCAGAAAATTTATATAACATGAAATGAATATCTCAAATAGTCAAAATAGCTGGGATAGAGAGCACTTGTTAAAAATCGATTTTCATAACCGAATTTATTTGGAACTTGTTACTTGGAAGTTTTTAACGTTTCTATTGACGTTTCGAAAGTTGGATTTAAGAAATTCAAAATGGCGGATTAAAAATGGCGTTCAAAAATTTCAATAATTGAGTGAATTTTATCGCAGTTTTTCCCTCGGGGTTTTTTGAAATATTTGAACGCCATTTTGAATTTTTTAAATCCAACTTTCGAAACATCAATAGAAACGTTGAAAACATCCAAGTAACAAGTTCCAAATAAATTCGGTAATGAAAATCGATTTTTAACAAGTGCTCTCTATCCCAACTATTTTGACTATTTGAAATAGTTATTTCATGTTAAATAAATTTTCTGCGCAATTATCATGCACTTTTCAGTTTTGGGACTCAAAGTTGAAGGTTTAAGCTTTCATTCAAGTCCTCGTGAAGATTTTTATCTTGTTGCGTTTTCGTTTTACAACGCTTCAAAAAGTGCTAAAAAAGCGATTTTTTGACACTTTAATCTCGTTTTTTACGGAACTGACCGAATGAAAAATTTTTTTTTGGGTATATTCTTGTTCAGTGACACCTAAACTTTCAATAAACACAGAAAATTTTAAATAAACAAGACTTGACCATTTTTATGTAACCCAGTGTAATCGGTTACTTGACTATTATCAAATAAATATTTAGGGACAGTTTCACCAATTCTGGTTAAAAATTAATCGGCGATTAAATCCTTAACTGTCCAATTATGAGCGGTTAAATTGCCTTTAATCGCTGATTAACTTTTAACCAGAGTTGGTGAAACTGAACTTTATTTGTGTCCAATAATTATTATTTGAGTCAATTAAATTGTATGTGTTTCAAGTACATAAATTATTGGTTCAAATATAGTTTATTTAATTTAAATAAAAAATATTTAGTTATAGTAAATATTTATTTGATAATAGTGTCAAGCAGCCGATAATTTGAATCAAATAAATTTTTTTCAGTGGGCTTTCGACAGTTAAACTGTGATCATATTAAATAATTGGTTGCTTCAGAATTCCGATAACTTTATTTATTTGTAAAATATTTGGTTTTTTCTTAACATTAATTAATTAATTAATTAATTAATTAATTAATATCTCGAAAAACAAAAAAAGAACATTTCCATATTTTTTGTGTAGAAAGTATACATTTTAAACTCTATACAAATATTGAAAAAAATGACTGATTTTGAAAAGAAGTCAAACAAATTTTTGATTTTTAAAAAAAGGTCGTTGTAACGTTTGATTTTAATATATTTTTGAAAATGTTAATAAATTTAAAATTTAAAAATATATATTTTTTAAGAACGACAAATATAAAATCAATTGCTAAAAAAAAGAAATTGTCGCTACGCGAATATTAAAAGAAAAATTATAGGAAAGGCCGAAGTCAGTTCCTGAGTGACAAAATAAAACTGTGTAAAATAGATAAAACTTATTAAAATAAATATAATAATTGTTAAAATCAGGGATTGTCACGGAACAATCGTATCGTACCTGGTTTGGTCCTAGGTACTATACGATTATCAACTTCACAATCGTATCGTGTCCGGATACGATACTAATAGCAACATGAGAATCGTATTGTATTAGGGCACGATACGAAAAATTACTTGAGAATCGTATCGTATCCCGGCACGATACGATAAACTACTTGAGAATCGTATCATATCCCGGCACGATACGAAAAATTACTTGAGAATCGTATCGTATCCGGGCACGTTACGAATAAAAACTTTAGAATCGTACCTTGTTTATAAACAATTTTATTATTTTAAGCCAAAAGTTCTGAATGTTCAAATGAACAAAATATTTTTTTCAATTTATAAATTATTAAAACTTATGATGGAAATGTAAAATAAAATATATGAAATATTAAATTTTAAAAACATACTTAGAAAATATTATAATGTAATATATTATTTCATGAAACGACACGATTTTAATGTTACAAATTGTATCGTGCCAGGGCACGACACTTTTCACCTATTTACTAATCGTATCGTGCCTGGGCACGACACTTTTTACCTATTAACTAATCGTATCGTGTCCAGGCACGATACGTTTCTTTTATTACTAATCGTATCGTGCCTGGGCATGACACTTTTCACCTATGAACTAATCGTATCGTGTCTGGGCACGACACTGTTCACCTATTTACTAATTGTATCCTGTTGGGGCACGATACGTTCCATCTATTACTAATAGTACAGTATCTTGGACCAGAGCCTATACGATATTCATATAGCGTATAGTTTCGTGCAGGTGACAGTCCCTGGTTAAAATATAATTATTGTTAACTGAAGTGTTGTGTCAAAGTGTTTATTTAGCCGCCCTTACAAAATTCAAAACATTAATAGAAGTAAGGGTTGAACATGGTCCTTCGAGTCATGATATTGAAAAGAACATTATAAAGACTAGAAAGATTACAGTCAGGAACTCAACTCATAGACTATTCGCAAACTCACGAATTAAACGAAAGGCTTCCTAGGAAGAAAATTGTGACAAGTCTCTAAAATAGAGAAACGAAATAGATGTAAATAAATCATCGAAAAATATACTAGGCTGGAGACGTGGCTGTTCAATGAAAATAATCGCTAGTTCAAAGCATTGACAGGAAAATCAAATATTCAGAGAAACTATACGTGAAGCAGATACCAGAACTCATCAACCAAGGTCGTCTAGAAAAACACTACGCCATTATCAATGAAAGTTCTATACACTGTAACGTTGTTTACTACTTTTTATTTACTAAAAATTATTGTGTCGAATTTCTTAATAAAATTTTAATCTATAATTTTCGCCACGTTATAGGTGATTATTTAAAGATGTTATTCTTATACTTACCTGGAATTTCCTTATTTTTCTTCGAAATTTCCGGAATCTTAAATCTTACCGGAAACTTTCTAGATGTCGAAAATTCTATTTTATTTCATTCGATGGTGAAATATTTTGACGGTCACGCTCTTCCGTTCTTCAAAATCTAATCTCAAGAAAACTCGTTATTTATTCTAAAATATTTAAATTCATTTTTAAATAAAAATTTTACGGGCGCCAGGTGAAAAGAAGTTTCACCCGAGCTTTCAACTTATTATTTTCATCTTGAAATAGAATAAAATATGCCTCGGCTAATTCAAACAATGAGTAAATACTGAATTTACTGACTGAGAGAGAACTGTCATTTTTCACAAAACCTTAATTTATTCAAACATTTAGAATCAAAAGGAAATTTACATAAATCTTTCAGAATAAACAAAAAAAAAATAATAATTAATTTTTATTGAAACGAAAAATGAATTCTTTCTTTTATTTTTTTAAATTTACTAATCAATTAAATTTTAATACTTTTAGAATGAAATACCTGACAAGAGAGAGAGGAAACTGTAATTGATTCTTCTACTAAAAGAAAAACTGATTCTTCTACTAAATGAAAAACTGAATCTTCTACTAAAAGAAAGAATTCAAAGACATCAGAAGTCGAAAACAGGATGGGCGTAAAAGTAAAAGAATAAAAAGGATCAAAAAAGAAAAATCATAAAACTACATGAAAATACATTTATAACTGTAAATAATTAATAAAATTCGATTTCAAGAATTAATTTTTTGATAAGAAATAATTTTTACTCTCTTTTACTTATAATTCTTTCAGCATTTAAAAAAATGAATCACGGAATAATTTATTGTTTTCTCAGTGTATTTTAAACAAATTAATGTATAATTTACTTTGGTGCGATTAATTAAAAAATTTAGATATTCATAACGTTGAATCGTCAGGTTCAGGAGATTTGCCCATAAGTGTAAGAATTCAATAGATAGAAGACGCGTGGAAAAATTTTGATAACACGCAATTAGAACAAAATAAACCGCATTTTTTTTTTCGTTGCTAAAATTGGATCTTCCGACATTTTCGGGAAACTATGAGGAATTTCTGGGGTTTATGGATGCGTTCGGGGCAATTAGACATGACGATGAGACTATACCACGGGTCCAAAAATTAAGATACTTGCGGGCATATTTAAAAGGAGAAGCTGCGCGAATTACAGATAATTTGGAAACGGCTAGAGATGCAAGACGAGCGAGACGAGCGAGAAATGTCTATAAACGAGAATAATTCTCGGCTTCTGATAACGATTCTCGTTCTCGTTCTCGACCTAAAAGACGAGATTGTAATATGTCGAGAATCTCGTATTTTCTCGTTCAATTCTCGTTTTTAAAAACTTTATTCTAGTTCTTTAAAAGAGAAAAATTCAAAAACCATAATGAGAAAAATATGCTATTAACTCAATAGCCTTTTCGTCAAAAATACAAAAACTATTGATTCAAATGCATTATACTATTGAAATGGTGAAATATAATATAACTTCTATAGCTTATGCTTTT